GAGTAGGTAGCCATGGCAGCCTCCTTGAAGGCCTCAGCCAGGGTAGGGTGAGCGTGGCAGGTGCGAGCAATGTCCTCGCAAGAGGCACCGTACTCGACAGCCAGGGTGGCCTCGGCGATCATCTCACCGGCGTTGGGGCCAATGATGTGGACACCGAGGATGCGGTCGGTCTCAGCATCGGCGATGAACTTGACCTGACCCTCAGTCTCGAGGTTGGTCTTGGCACGGGAGTTGGCGCTGAAGGGGAAGGTACCGACACGGTACTTGATGCCGGCAGCCTTGACTTCCTGCTCGTTCTGGCCAACCCAGGCGACTTCGGGGTGAGTGTACATGACGCTGGGGATGCAGCCGTAGTTGACGTGGCCGTAGCCCTTCTTGATGTACTCGATGGCAGCGACGGCCTCCTCCTCGGCCTTGTGAGCAAGCATGGGTCCGAAAGTGCAGTCACCGATCACGCGGATGTTGGGGATCTTGGTGCGGTACTCCTGGTCGATGACAAGACGGCCGCGCTCGTCCTTCTCAACACCGACGCTCTCGAGGTTGAGACCCTCGGTGTAGGGGCGGCGACCGATGGCGACGAGGACAACGTCAGCGTCGAGAGTCTCCTCCTTACCACCCTTGGCGGCCTCAACGCTCAGAGCGACGGTAGCACCGCTGTCGTCACCCTTGGTAACCTTGGTACCGGTCTTGAACTTGATACCCTGCTTCTGGAGGATCTTCTGGGCCTGCTTGGCGATATCGGCGTCCATGCCGGGACCGCCGATCTGGCCCAGGAACTCGACGACGGTGACCTCAGAGCCGAGGCGGGACCAAACAGAGGCCTGTTGAGGGGCAGAAAAAGAAAACATGAGCATGAATTTTCAAACGGCAAGATCGGAATGTATTCCGCCGGGTATACGCACCATTTCCAGACCAATGATACCACCACCGATGACGATCATCTTCTTGGGGACCTCCTTGAGGGAGAGGGCACCAGTGCTGGTGATGATCCTCTTCTCGTCAATGTTGAGGCCGGGGAAAGGAGTAGCCTCAGAACCAGTAGCAATGAGGATGTTCTTTCCGCGCAGGGTCTGCTCACCACCGTCAAGGAGGTTAACCTTGACGGTGTTCTGGTCAACGAGAGCACCGGTACCCTTGACGTAGTCGACACCGTTCTTCTTGAACAAGAACTCGATACCCTTAGTCAGACCCTCAACGGAAGTGTCCTTGGCCTTCATCATCTGCTCAAGGTTCAGCTTCACATCACCGACCTCGATACCGCGCTTTTTCGTGTCGTGGAGAATCTGGTGGTAGAGGTGGGAGTTGTTGAGCAGGGATTTCGAGGGGATACAGCCGACGTTCAGGCAGGTACCGCCCAGACGGCCACGCTTCTCGATACATGCGGTCTGTGAAAATGTAGTTGTTAGGGAGATCATCCAGCCGGAACACCTTCGAGGGACGATAGATAGCGCACCTTCAGACCTTCCTGACCGGCCTTGATGGCGGCAACGTAACCAGCGACACCACCACCGATGATGACAAGATCGTGTTCGCCTGTGTTAATTCCAGCCGACGGTTAGCCGGAGGCCACTTTTTTCGGAAGCGCAGGCACCGTCTGCGACGGGCCCATCGCAAAGGGCAAAAGTCACGTACCTGACTCAGAGGCATAGCCACGTTGTGTGCGTCCAAAGGAGGCGAGAGAAGGAGCAGCGACGAAGGTAGAGGGAACGGCCTTGGGACCGGCACAGCGGAGGGCAACCCGCGGAGTCGCCCGCGGCAAAAGACTCCGGAACATGGTGAAAAGGAGGCGAAAGGGTAAAGGAAAAAGTCAAGGGATATAGGAAGAACAGCAGACTACCAGGCCTCCCAGTGAACAAGCAACGAAGGGGAGGGGAGGGGACAATTGGAGGTGGGAGGAGACGGGCTCAAGTGGTTAGAGGATGATAGGGAAAAACGATGTTGGGACAAGAAGCTTTCTGGAGGTTCGCCAGCAAAAGCTGGCGGCCCGGTATCGATACTGTATGCCTCGCGTATGTAATCATCCGCCCCCGTGAGCGTCGGGTCAATTCGGCTAACCTTTGCCATGTTGCCGATGTTGTGCTGAACCGTAATTCCGCTACTGTGTCTGGCTCTTCAATCCCCAGAAGTTTCTCCTGCTTCTGATATCTGGGGTAGATTCCTCTTCGCTTGACATCAAGCGTGCGAGGCCGTGCCGGGGCTACACATGGCGGAATACCGGTCAGTGTTACGGCCCAAAATACCTCATAGATTCGCTCAAAAGGGTAAGGAACCAGACTCTCTCCCGCTTCGGAGTCAGCAGAAGGGAATCAACTTGCAGTCTCGAACATTGCAGAGTTCACGCTCCAGATAACAATCAATCTTGCATCATGAACTGCTCTCCGGTGCCTCTGAAAATGAAAATTACCGATACTCGTCAGTCTCCGCGGGTAACTGGCTAAGCCCCTGGCTCCGTAAAGGCTATCGTCGGCATAGCTCGAGCCAGTGCACGGCACTTAAAGGTAATCCAGGTCTTGGGCTGAAGACCATTGGACTGAAAGACTGAAACACGGATTGAATGGATCGCTCGGAACTCATCCAGTCTGGCTGGAAGTGCTCGTGCTCTTTATTGGATAATATGAATGTGCTTGGACTAATATGACGTGACCTGCGTTAGCAGAGCGCACCTTGCGGAGCATCGACGTCCGTAGCTTCAAATCTGATATGGGGAGTTATTAAGTCAGCTTAACTTGGTGCTGGTGGTCGACATGTCCACCATAAGACTGCACAGTGTCGGCTCAACTGGCGTGCTTCCTGTAGTGGCTACAGGCTTGGCAGTTGGGGAGAAGATTTAAATGATAACAGCGGTGCTTCGTCTGCAGAACATTGCTTCTAGGTCACGACTAAGCGCCTCAAGTTGACTGTGAATGTCTTGTTTTGGTCGTTTGTAGGATCATGGCTTCCCTCGGTGACCACTCATGCTCTCATGCAGATCCGGAACTATATTGTTTCGCCCAAAATTGTTCTGTCCGGAACGGAAACCGTTGAGAAACGGCACAGCTCAATCACATTGGCGAGATATCTTCTGCAGTCGCAGTTCACGTTCTGGTAATGGCAATGCTAGATGCACAGAAGCAGAATACAGTGAGACACTATAAACAACGACAAGAGAATCAACTAAACATACAACTGTCTATCCAAGGTGGATGATGGGCCCCAACAAGGTTTAGCGGCTCGGAAGCTGCTGGCGCCCACTCCGTCTATACTGGAGTGCACTTCTACAACCCGTTGCTCCAAACTTGGCCCTGGGTTTGGTGTATCTGTGGTCTGGTATCAATGAATATTGCTTAGCTATTCCCTGATCTTATTGGGCGACAAAATATGCAATAATTGATGCTAAGCGGTGATAAAGTGCCCCTGGACTACCACTATGGCTGGAAAGTCATACCAGAGACGGGTTCACCGAATCCCGACAAGTTCTGGTAAGAGCTCTATCTTGATATCTTGCGACGTTTTATTTAGATTTTGCAAAACCCCGTCATTGTTGTGATAGGGGTATTCGAATGCCATATCCCAAACCGCTCCGTTGGTATATACCGACAGCTGAGAACAATCGGGAACCTTTAGATTCTTGAAAATACAGCCGACAAAAGCCAGAAAGAAAAAGTTATACTTATGCTTGCCTATGTGAAGGGCAAAAGCGCGGAAGGTCCCTAGCACTATGCCGAGATGAAGTAGTCTCCTAACATCAGACAAGGGCCGTGCATATGATACTCACGCCATGCTGCACGAGCAGCAGCAGCACAGGATCAACAAAGCAGGACTGACAAGGCTACTTACAAAGCTACTTAATCACACTCTAATGTTAACTTTCGGAGGAGCCTCATCTCACCGGGTTTTTGGGATCATCGATGCGCCAGTAGGAAATCTCAGACAGGCCCCACAGCTCCCTGGCAACCGAGATATATCTGCCTTGAACAAGGGTCAAGCTACTTCTTAATACTGTTCCATGTCATTATTTCATGGTTAGCTTGCCAAATTTGCAACAGTTTGACGGGAATAGAGAGCTCGACGTAGGTGATTGTGTGCGTTGATGAGGCTAATATCCCAAGAAACATAAATCTTGCGAGAGACGACCCTGATCGTTTACGAACAATAATGAGAACTTATTATAGCAATAAGAAGATAGTAGTCACCTGGTTAGAATTCTTTCAACAGTCAGCCAAATAGCTGGCAGGCTAAAGTGGCACGGGATCTCCTAAAGAGGCGAGTCGGAGTTGGTCCGCCGCGATGTTCTCCGGATTTCCTCAATCTGGCTGAAATCCCCACCCGCTTGGACAAAATCCCCGGGAAACATCCACACCCCAGACCATCCACTCCATCCACTCCTCCTGATGGCCCAATCCGCTATCCCAACTACTCTGTGCCACCCGCTCCAGCTTATCGTTGGCTTCCCGGGCCCCGCCGATACCGCTGCTTTCTTCAAATCTCTAAGTCCGTACATGGAGTGCGTTCCCCAGACGCCAACCCCGGATGATGCAATGTTAGCAGACGAGTTTCGCTTGATTACCATCTTGTTTCCCTACACGACACCTACAGCACATAGTATCATGCCGTCTCAGTTTCCACCTCGGATATTGGTCCATAATCCTTCGGTCTGCAGCTCGGCAGCATAGGCGCTGGCCGAATGACCGATTTGGACTCGTCCGCGTCCCGGTCTGGGGTCGGGTTCCCACCCATTCTCTCCAGACTTTCTCGTGCGGGTCCTGTATTCCAATGGCGTCCTTGCTTTGGAGTGGAACCGAGTGTCTGATGGCTGCTTGATGCCCTCCCACCCGGAATGTAACCATATTCGACTCATCGGGCTGGCACCGGTCCTGTGCCGTGGGATTACTCCTCAAAATGGATGATCTTCAGGTGCAAATGGCACCACCGAGCTTATAGTCCTTTCTATTTAATCGTCGCATCGCCCCGCTGTCTCTGTAACCCTGCTTCCTGGTTCCACGTCTATCTGTACTGGAGGTGGCTGATCTCTCCCCAAAGTCACGCGGTCTCCGTGCCTGAAGTCACCCAAGTGAAAAGAAAAAGGTATTTTCCAGTATACACCCAAACAGTCACTACAACCGCGGATTCTAGAGTAGTCACCATGAGTGACCTAATACCATCATGGAATATTGTCCACAAATTGGAGAAGCGTAATCTTCTCATCGCTATCAATTGCGTCGCGGCCTTGTCGATCCTGTTCTTCGGGTATGACCAGGGAATGATGTCGGGTGTGAACAACTCCAAAGACTACATCGACCTTATGGGATTCGGATATACCAAGGAAGTGAATGGAGAGCTTACCCCTGTCGTTACAGACAGTCTTTTACAAGGGGGAATTGTGTCTGTCTACTACCTGGGGACTTTGTGTGGTGCACTAATCGGTGGCTGGATCGGTGACAAGATTGGCAGAATCAGGACTATCGCTTCGGGTGCGGTCTGGGCGATTTTGGGGGCGTCATTGCAATGCGCAGCGCAGAACCACAATTGGATGATTTGCTGTAAGAGACCCATAGAGACTATTCGCACTTCGGACTGACGTATGAACCACAGCCCGTTTCATCAATGGTATTGGCACGGGAATCCTGAATGCTATTGTGCCCGTCTGGGCTACAGAGACAGCCGAACATACCTCTCGTGGACAGTTTATTGCGATCGAATTTACTCTCAACATATTCGGTGTCGTAGTGGCTTACTGGCTTGAATTGTAAGTATACCTTGCTACTCCCGAGACCTGTCTAATTCGCATAGTGGCTTGTCCTTTATCGATGGCGGCAAATCCGCGTTCCGCTGGCGCTTCCCCATCGCGTTTCAAATCATCTTCTTGCTTCTCTTGTTTTTCTCGGTCTGGTTCTTTCCCGAATCACCACGTTGGCTGGTCAAAGTTGGTCGCGAGCAAGAAGCACGTTACGTTCTTGGCCGTCTTCGAGGGAGTACCGGCGATGATGCTGTCCGCGCTGAAGCCGAGTTCCGGGATATCCAGAACGTTGCAGAAATGGAACGATCAATGAATCACAGCACTTCGTATCTAGCAATGCTTTTTGGACACAAGACAGGCAAACTGCATCTTGGACGACGTGTGCAGCTGGTCGTCTGGCTGCAGATCATGCAGGAATGGGTTGGTATCGCGGGTGTCACTGTTTGTATGTCAACCACAATATGACAGCTACCGGACTAGTCTGACTTGAATAGATGCGCCCACCATCTTTAGCATCGCCGGCTTTGACTCGATGAAGAGTCAATGGCTTAGTGGTCTGAATAACGTCTTCTATATGGTGAGTACTATGCCTTCCCACATGGGACGTGGCTAACAACTCAGTTCGCAACGCTCGTATGTGTCTTCACGCTCGATCGTATCGGTCGTAGATGGACCTTATACTGGGGAGCCGTCAGTCAAGGAATCGCCATGTTCCTAGCAGGAGGATTCTCCCGCCTAGCCATCAATGCTCGCGACTCGGGCGATGCTGCTCGCGCCAGTTCATTCGGAGCAGCCGCAGCCGCAATGATTTTCATTTTTACTGCTGCTTTCGGAGCCACATGGCTGACAGGTATATACCTAACTTCTTCCTCAAGAGCCACCCGCTAATCACACACTTATAGTACCCTGGGTCTATCCCGCCGAGATCTATCCCCTCGCAGTACGAGCCCGCGGAAATGCCTGGGGCGTAGTCGGGTGGAGTATCGGAAACGGATGGCTGGTAAGTTCATCCTCCAGAAATGCGAAGCAAAGCTAACAAAGCCAACTAGACACTTCTATGCCCGGTGATGTTCGGCGCTATTGGCGAGAAAACGCTATATGTTTTCGCGGCTAGTAACGTGATCGCAATCCCGATGGTGTGGGCATTCTACCCAGAGAGCAATCAACGTACCTTGGAGGACATGGATCTGCTTTTCGCGTCGGAGAGCCCGTGGGTATGGGATGCAGAGAAGACGTTCAAACAGCTGAAGGCAGAGAATCCGGGATATGTGGAGGCGACGGCGCGAAAGGGTAGCGTGGTGTTGGAGCATGTGGATGTATGAGCACACCTTAATGACTGTATGTAAAACTCATTAGATACCTACTATCGAGCAGAATTTCTGCAGCAATCGAACAACTTTCAATACTTGTACTATATACTGTTCCCTTGAACTACTACATACTGTCTATTGACCGAGTTCGCTACGTATTCTGTGAATGTGTAACATATTGACAGCTTTATCCCGGTCACATATCTCCCCGTATGAACTATGCCGTGCTCAATACTCTCAATTCTCTAACAACCTAAACAAACAAACTTCTGAACCTAGCCAAGATACATCACCCTCTCTTGCTCATCATAGTGAAACCCTTCTCCTTCAGGTGGCACTTCAGCAGCGAATGGGGTCTTTCCAAGATCGAGTTTGAAAAAGACACTCGGCCCACCATCTCCATAGTTCGGATAGACCCAAATTGCGTCATAATGCACACTCATGCGACTATTCCGGAATTCAGGAGGGATCCATAACAACTTTCGCCCCCTTTGGAAAATCCACTCTTCCCCAATCCACAAACTGGATGGACAATACATTTCAGTTGTTGGGGAACGATTATTGACCGGAATGAGAACTTGCCCTCGATCGAGATTGAGGTACCGACCGTCGCTTGAGAATGACACATCTTCGATAATTAAGGATTCATCAGACACTAAAGTTTCAATTGTGCAGACCCGTTCTCCAGTGTTGCAATTTATGACGACAATGATGGGCGGTCCAAAAATCATTGAGACCATAGCAATCAGTTCTGACCATGCCGCCATTTGATCCCCAGGAACAGTACATAGTCCTACCGCACATGGTATGGTTTTCGTCAATCCTGTTGCCAGATTGTACGTAATCAGAGCAAGAGTACTGTGGAACAATTCTTGGGAGACGATATCATGATCTCGCTGCAGTGTTTGCATAACAATGTAATCACCATTTGCAGAATAGATCAACGAGCCAGTCTCATGTAAATCATCCGAAGGACGGATACATTCATTCACATGCTGACAATGAGGCATGCTTGTTTTCCATACCTTGAGCATACAATAGCTTGACGTAAATTCTTCATTCTGAACCCAAATGGCAACAGCATCAGACTTCGGTGAGAATTTTATGGCTGGCTTGTTTGGGAGTTCTGTAAGCCAATTGGTTCTCTTCTTGTTTCTTAAGTCCCATATTTCGACTCCGTGTGAGAAGATCAAACCGATAAATTGGCAGTCTGGTGAGAACTGAAGATCATGGATTGTCGCTGGTAGAGGAATAGATAATTCTTCAAACAGTCCTGCGTCCAATATCCATACATGCTCCTCACCACGAACAGCCAATTTCTCCCCATTAGAGGATGATACGATCACGTCTTGTATACGCACAAAACAAAACCCGGGAGAATGCCTTTCCAAGTCCGTACTTTGCCTTTCCAGATCCCTACTCAACAAATGAACTGTCCGTTCGATAGTTCTCGCCCTCCTCAGTATCAGTGCGATCAGTTTACCCTGCATCAAATATTGGAGAGATTCGAAGTCTTCAGTATAAAACCGACAACTCCCCGTGTCTTTGTTCCGCAACATCGTGGTAGCATTTTGAGTATTCGAGATGACCTCGATTCCAAAGGGGTAAGTCATTTTGGCTTCAGGCTTGGCGAGCTCAGTGTGGGGGCGATCAACTGCAATGTCCCATAGTCGAAGTGCACCATCGCCGGTGCATAATAGTGATCCATCGTGGGAAAGAGCAATTGTGCCGCACACGCCATGGTTGCATCGAAAACTTAAGATCTGGGTGTGAGTAACTGAATCCCAGACACGAACAGTAGAGTCTAGAGAGGAAGTTGCAAAGAAGCGGCCGTCGGCAGATAAAGCCGTTGCCCATATGTCACAATCACCGGTCTGAGTTTCGCCACAAGCAATCAGTTTGGAACTCAGTCGTCCTGTTTTGGTATCCCATATTTCCACTAGATGCTGATTTGATACCAGAACTCGGCGACCATTCCTCGAAACGCAGAAGTTGGTTTTCGTCTCTGCAGGCGCCTCACCCTCTTCAATACACTCAAGTTCTGTGCCCGCTTCATTAAGCAAGTAGATCTCCCAAGTATGTCCCAAATGACCTGAATAGAGTACCACAGCCTCATCATTGAACAAGAATCCAACCACTAATGTCTCCAAGGCATTGATTGTGCCCGGTTTGTCCGGTTTGTCCGAGAAAGGCGTTGAAGGTGCATGAATCTGTTGACGAAGGCGATAATTCCAGACTTCAACAGAGAAATCCACCCTGGAAAATATCAGAGAGTCGCTAACTGGGGAGAAAGCAATACGATGGATATCGTATTTACCCACTTCACCCAGAAAGTACTCTTCGTCAGTCTCAAACTTCCACAGTCTGACTCTTCCGTCCTCAGTCCCATGCGCTATTAGACTTCCATCTTGGGAGAATTCAACACCAGAATCTAGCCCTATTTTTGTTTGATACTTCACCTTCCCTGTTTGAGCGTTCCACAGCTTGAGATAATAATTGCCATCCTGATTGTAAGACGAAGCACCTGTCCTTCCATCTGGGGAGAATACAATATTTCCAGGGTATCTATTTTCGGGTTCAATGACAAAGAGCTCCCGTGACCAGTCATCGTCCATGACGGGTTGTTGTGTCACCCATGAGGGTATGAGGTGTGAATAAATTTCTTTGATGAGACTTTTCATTGGACAGAATACGAGAGCGGAAGAATAGACCTGCAAAGGTGCTTGCTCAATAATGTGCCGATTGTGAAGTAGGAATCTCCTCGCATCTCTGACAAGCGGGAAGTAATGAGAGTCCTGTTATGGGTTGTCAGTAAGAGGATATGGTTAGGAACAAGGTGGATTGACATACTCTAGCAAGGTCCTGGAGAGCACTGAGTTGAAAAACACCAACTTCAAGCTCACCCATGAGGCTCAAGGCTTCGAACCAGAAGAGCAGCTTTTGTCGAAGAAAGCATTCAATAATGCCCCCATTATCATTCAGCAGCTCGCTTTGCTCATCATTGTCAAGCTGCATCAGATGATCGATCCAATAGCGACACGCGTAGCACAATGCAGTTGGTAGGAAAGTCTCCAGACTTTCCGAGGAAACATCTGATGGTGATGAGTCAGGAAGTACGAAGTCACAAAGATTTTGCTTAAGGCTCTTCATTGTTTCCATACATCTTTCAAACAAAATCAAGTGCAGCTGTTGAGGATTGATGTAAAGCTCTGGGGTGCTTTTGCAGCGCTCACGACTCAACAAAAGGTCACGCAAAGAAAGATGAACTGGACGAATTGGATCATTTGCTGCCCGAACATCCAAAAGCGATCTGAGAGGCTCAACGCATCTTTGGATACGCTTATCCTTCGAGGATGAAGAGAACAAAAGTGCTTCTAAAGTGGAAGCTGAGGCTGGCTTGAATATGACCATGATAGTCCCAACAATCAGTCGGAAGTCTTCGATCATGATTTCCCGCTCTTTCTTGGATCTCGCATTCAGAGACATCTCTATGACCCTGATATAGATGTTGTCCAACTTCGCCTGGGGGGTTTCAGCTTCGCTATCGTCTTTGAGGATTTGATCCAGTCGGGAGGAATAGTAGTATGGATCTTCCAGAAACCGGCAACACGTTGAAGCATACACAAAAAGTCCGTCTGACTTCTCCTTCAGCTTTTCGATATTCACTTGACCTGGCCAGCCCTCTGGCATCGTGGATTTGTATTCTTCCCTGATTCTTTTCAAGTCTGTTTCAAGAAAGCGAGTGATGTCATCACTCTCAGGTGAGATCTTATGAAGTGGCTGCGAAAGGTACAGTTCGGGCGGCAGGCTCTCAATAGCAAATCGAATGTGGGCTTCTGGGCGGCTGGTGATTAAGAATCGAACAGATGGCAGATCTCTTATGGAGGCCAACAGTTTCAACACAGTGGCAACTTTGTCTTGGTCCCTACACTCATCAAGGCTATCAACAATCATAATGAAGCGCCAGTGAGCCTGTGAAGAACTGGTAAGCTTATGCAATGGCTCGGAAATGAGGTTAGCCCATTGTACTCGAAGTCCTTTTTCTTCGATGCGCGCATCCTGATCAATGGCATCAACAATGTACTGCCTTATGTCCGGCAAGGACTCCGCCAAGCACTGTGTCAGGGTTGGGAAAAGGTACTGGCTGTTGTTGCGTTCCGGCTCAAATTGATTGAAAAAGAAACTTCCCCCCAGTCTGATAGTAGCATCAACAGGGCTGCCATCTGGCCACTCTCTGTCCTGAAGCGCCCATGCAATAGTCCGAGCAATTGTTGACTTGCCCGTTCCAGCCATCCCATGAAGCCAAAGCACTGGATTTCCATCGCCCTTGCACCAATTCTGAAGCATGTCCAACGTCTCCACTTGAGTGTCTTTTAGGCATCTTGGCTCTTCAGCGTTTTTGTATGAATCGAATGGGGCCATGGCAGAGTACTTGAAAGCCCTCAATATTCGATCTCTCTGCTCTGACATCAGACGTGTCTGGTTTCTCAACTCCTTCTTGATATCCTCGACCATTTTCGAAAACTTATCGACTTTGCTCCCAATCTCAAAGATCATGCCGTTTGTGACAGATTCCAGGTCGCGGTCGAGGCTATCCCTAGTTGTCTGTAGCTTGTTCAGACTCGTACTCCAATTTTCGTCTCCGAGGCTGTCCTTCAGATTTTCGAAATATCTAGAGGCTCTATGATGTCGAAAATGCTTTATGAGGCGGAGCTGATAGACATATATCTGGGAATACATATCGACGAATTTGTCTTGGATGAGCAAAAGAAGATTCACCTTGTCAACCGAGGTCCTAGAAGTTTCAAGATCTCTTAGGACTCGGACTGCCTCTTGTGCATGTTAATCATCACTCGAATGCTTACGCTGAGGTCATGGCGGCTCGGTAGTATTTGTCTTCCTCCACATAGCGGTAGCGAACTAGCAGAGCAGAAATGTCATCCAATCCACTCATGGCATCCGAGTCCTGCTTCAAGATGTTTGCGAGCACCTACAGGGTTTCAGAAACAGCAAGACAGTTCGAGATCAATCAACTTACTGGGAGAGCAACCATAACTCCGGCCCAGGCCAACGCAGCATGGGGATCAGCTGAAATGGCGGAAGAGACCACATCTTTAACAGAGAGCACAACTCCGACAACCTTTCTCGCCAATTCTCCAACAATGATGTCCTTTCCATTGAATGCCAAGCGAAATTGCTCCGACTGCCACACTTCAAGTTGTTCCTGAGCAAGGGCTTGCGCCTCTTGAATTTGGTTCAAGGCCTTATCTCCTGTATGGCCACCCCATTCAAGTAAAGCCCGAGTGTACGCATTGATTAAATCCGGATGGCTTTCTCGAGTAGCGTTGTAAGCTTCTTCCCATGGTTGTCGGGTCTCAAGCTTCTTCAATGCTTCATCAATAGGAGTCTTAACGGGAGGATAGGCATCAAAGGATTTATCATCGCGATGGACTTCTGTTGAAGGGCGCTCAGCTTCTGTCGCAAGGCTGCGGTCAGCGTCGTCCGTCTTATCTTTGCTGCCGGCATCCACTATTCCTGCGCCCCGTCTATGTGAATGTGCTTTATTTATGACTTTCTTATAGAGTTTCCTCATCCTGATGCAATTATTAAAGGCAGACTTAGATGAATATTTAATAGTCTAGTTCTGACTCTCCGTATAAGAGAAGTCTTATCAGCCGGAAACATTAACCATTTTAACGAGGATGACGAGTACATGTGTGCATATGCGTAAATACCCAATAGCCCCAAAATTGGGCATAATTTACAGGGGTTATTTGTTAGAGCGATAATACTAGTGGCCAAGGTCATGTGTTGGAATCCCACTAGCACCAACCACGTCTTTTACTACATTTCTTGTAGGCGCTTAGATGGCAACGAATCAAGCATACTTCTCTCTGTCTACCTATTTTTCGATGTACTAGGTCTGGCAGGGTTCTGAAAGACTTTGGGGCTCCATTGGTGGAGAAGATGAGTACCTTAGTTATTAGGACCTTCCATATTGCTTTTCCCTGATTCTTGATACAGTAAGTGACAGCTGATGTATCAATATAAATAACCTACGGAGTACACAATCCGTAGTAGTGTAATAACTCAGCCACTGAACATAATCAGGGTTAGTAGTAAACATGTGAGATTATTAATACATCGAAAGGTGATTGCAGATAAATCTCGGGAAATTGTAATCAGAGTAGCTATTATGACAAAGTAACTTTTGGACGAAAGTCTAACTATGTGTTCGCATTAAGTAAAAATATTATAACATAATATATAACATGATATATAACATAATATATATTTCAAGATTTTTATATTCGCACAAGAAGGCTGGGGTTATAGCTCAGTGGTAGAGCGCTCGCTTTGCATCCTCGCAAGTATGCGAGAGGTCAAGGGTTCGATCCCCTTTGACTCCAATCTTTTTGAAAATTTCTTTTTCTTTTTTTTTACCCTTCCACCTGAATAAAATGGCTTGCTAGCAAAGAAAGTCTGGGATTTTGTATATATATATATATAAATTTTTTCATTTTTTTTTTTTTCATTTTTTCCTTGTTACTTAGAGGTCGAGCTTTTACAGGCAATATGTAGAGTACTTGCAGACATGGGATCCCACTGAAGTCGAACCGAGTATGTCCAAGCCTCATTTATACGCTCAACCAAACTTGTAGATTTGCTGAATTTACCTCTGCATGTTTCAAGCTCGGCAGAAGAAACAATATATCGAGCCATTAAACGAACGATTGCAGTTTTGTTTTTCTGAGCTATTCTATTGTAGATATGGGATCAAGCATCACTGTCTAATAGTGTGTCTTTGGGAGTCTCACATTCCCTTTCGAATAATCCTTGACACATCTCCATGTCATCTTTGGTAATCACGTTTCTGTCATTATATAGATAGCTGTCCTTGCAACTAAGGTAAAACACAAGATTTGTCACCGATATAGGCTTCAATACGATTCTCATTGCTCTTTTCATTCTCTCCTTCATTTTCGTCTTCATATTCTTCTGTACCTACCGAGCTATCTGGTGGCGAAATCAGAACATACCCAAGGACACTGTTGAAGAGCTTCTTCGGCCACTGATTATTCTGTACCCAGTAGTGTATGGAAGAGCCTTTGACGGTCTGTATAAATCCTCGAGCCCACTAGAGTAGTGTCAGCCCTATTACGCTTCTTCATTATATGAAAAGTAACAAATGACATACCTCCTGGTCAGTGGTTACAGGATCCAGAACAGCAGAATTCCGCTGTCGACATGGCTTTTTAGGTTGTCTTTCTAAATGCTGTGGTGCCGGAGCTTTTCGCTTTTCATAGATGTTGGCTGGTGGTTTGTTTTGTGACTATCATACCCACAACGTCAGTGTCTGATAGTAGTACAGCAAGTTGCTCGCATCATACATACTTCTGTACAATTGTTTGATGGCGAAGAAGATTCTTGCTTCTCTATGTTGGTTGATTCCTTCTGTACTTTTTCGCGAATGCGATCGCTTCTTCGACAGCTTTCTTGATGGGGCTGTTTCCCGCGAGGCATTTTGACTGTAGAGAGGAAAATAACTGAATCAAAGTAGAGTGTATCAAGATAAGCTTCTCTGCAGGATTATTTAAGTAAAGACGATAAGTATCATCTGATGGCGACATGGTCGAGAACCAAATGTGGAAGTATATAGTATTGTCCAGAAATCGGTGAAAGACACATAAATACAACAGAGGTACAAAGCTTTTGATACTTTTGCAGGTTGTTTGTCTTCGACTTGGGATGTTCCGGACCATTGCTTGCAACGACGATTTCGGTCCTTTTAAAGATCAAAGGTATATGGTTTATGGAATTAACAGTAAGGAGATGGAGTGCGGGATCATCACATCTTGATGAAGGTGGCGTAGCCTGATAAATATGGTTTAATGAAAAGACAGATATAGACTCAAGCATATTCAAGGTAGGCAATGAAAACAGCCGATAAGAAATTGATTGAATCTATCATCTCGAGATCATTACGGGCAAAGCCCGGCATTGCTTAGGTGTCGCCTTATGCTCAGAAAGTTGCTTGGAGAAGTGTACTTGCACGGAACTGAAGAACGGCACACCCCGGAGATGAGCAGAGAACACCCCGAAAATTCACGAATAACATAGTATTGTCAAGCTATACTCTCTGTCACTCATCATTATTTAAGGCCGTGCTTCACCCCTACAATTGGTTTTATCAGCCCACTCCCCAATCATCCTAAGCCTCACCCTTTATACTCACTTCTTTGTTCAGCTGCTCCATCTTACCAGGATCTCTCCACAATGCCTTCCTCATCCGAGCTCGCCCTCATCAGGAAGTACCCCCCTACACCCTATAAGGGCCTGCAAGCCCTAATCAAGGCCATTGCAGATCTATACGAAAAACTGGAAACAGGAGATGTCAGTCAATACTTATCTTTCAAAGATGTTTCTCCGAAAGACTTCCGATTTATCGAAAGTCATCGAAAGAAACTTGGCAGCGCAGTCCGTTTCACCTACTACCCTGAAATCAGCACCCTCGTACTCAAGGTGGTTACCAACACCACTTTAGCTGTGCATGATAATCTCTACTACAATATATCGAGCAAGCTCGCTAACATGGACATCGATATCGATCAGTTCGTGTCCCTCGGAGCCTCAGAATTTGAAGGACCATGGGGCTCGATCAAAGAAGGGGACGGTGCCTTCAAAAACCCTGCTATTCGATCTGAGAAGCGGCACTGGCCTTCCTTCGTGATTGAATCTGCAGTGTCTGACGATTCCATGCCACGTCTGCGGCAGGATGATGCGTGGTGGATTGCAAACTCCGTTGGGGAGGTTAAGGTTGTCTTGATCATCAATGTGTTGATGAAAACCAAGTGTATTGTGCTTGAAAAATACGGCCCCGAAGATCAAAAGTCTCATAACACTAGGTCTCAGTCCAAAGGAGGCCCTAATGATCACCGGCCTGTCCTAAAATCTAGGACTACAGTGAACTATGGAGCTGGATCACCCCATGTGGAGGGTGATTCAGTCAAGCTAAAGTTCAAGGATCTGATGGGAAGACCAAAAGGGTCATCTGAAGAGGATGTTGAGATCGGTCATGCTGAGCTGTTGGAGCTTGCCAAATCGGTTTTTGGGAATTGAAGGGCTGCAATATGCCTAAGATTAGTCAATGGAGGGCATTAGCCAGACGTTTGGGAGTTCAGGATAGCTGATACTATATAGTATTCAAATAAATCGTGTGACACAGCCCCTATTCAGTTCATTTCCAGGTTCTTTGGGACATTCAGTGTAGCCAGGCATCGCCTGATTCTCTGCCACCTCTGCCTATGTGGTCTCTGACTACCACCTCCTACCACCATCAACCGCTACCTTGGGATCCGAATAGGTAATTAGGCCCGCCCCTGCACTTTATCTTCAGATCCTCTTATGGAAGGGGCATGCTACAAGATTGTATTTAGGGGTCCGGGATTCATTTCCAGCAACCACATTCTGTAGAGAAACTGGGCTAGCCGAAGATAGATGTGCTTTGTGATTGACCAACTGGGGTGATGCATGGCTTATTAAAGCATATGGGTCAAGATACATATTTACTCTGCGGCTGGATTGCAAGTGATAATAGCTAATAACTAAGGGCAGTCTGTGTCAAATAGAGAGGTCGCTTTCTGTAAATGCATACGGAGTCCAAAATGTAGATAAGAAACCAGCTTCTCCGGATTGAGGACATTACTACTTAACAGAGTACCTGTTTTCTTGCTCTTTGATTGACTGAAATAGTATTGTATATCTCTATTGTGCTGAATATCATGCCATTCTTTTGCAATCTGATCCGGGCAGCGATTATTATTCTCAAAAACCATACCGTAACATATTAAAAATATAATGAGAAATGTTGACCAATTTGATAACACAAAGAAACTGAGTAACTTAGAAAATCCGGAATGATGACGATAAGAAGAAGAAGGAACATATATACGATAATGGTCAAGGTGTTGTGGGTGGCCATGAGAAAGAGCAGCCTTTCAACTACTATCCTTCCTTCAACCTCTTTGTGCCTCTGGAGGCCCTTCGCTCAATGACTGACTGAAGTTGATTGCCACGCTTCCTTTTGGTATCTGTAACCAGTTCCTTGTCCTCTGGAAATGAACTTTTGCCCCCCGAGGATTCTTCGTCCGTTGGGCTCTCGGGTTGAATCAGAGACTGGCGAGGTGCAACGTCCGAAGGTATATCCGGTAAACGGTCAATTGCAGAACAAAGTAATGCAAAAAATGTTGGGACCCAGTCATGATAGATGGCCATTGAAAATTTGTAAGACCTCCATCTATGCTTGTCTAATATGCTCCATTTTCCAATACGGACACGATAATATGAAGTCGGCTCTGCAGTTTCGACCACGGGGAAATGAGCGAATACTTGCACCTGCTCCTGATCATGGCAAAAAGAAAAGCCAAGAATTCTCCGGTGTAATTCATTCTCACACCCTAATAATTTGAAGAGCTCAACAACACCTCTGAGACATCGAGTCAGAGTGTGAGCATTTTGCCGTTCTGCAATCATGAGATTTCCTGTAGTGGACTTTACTGACTTCACTTCGCAAGCTAAAAATGGGAAAAGCATATCTTCTATGCCCTTGCAAACAGAAGTCTCGTTAGGCCCACCGAGTAATGGCTTAAGCTTGCGAATCTGCTTGCAGGTAAATGCATGACTTGCAAATCCCACAGCATAGTCTGGCCGCGGTGTTGGTAGAGATGACATTGGTTCCTTTGCCCCTGCACTTCGTCGCGTGCTCGTATCTTCATCAAGGGAAGTCGACCAACTCCAAGGCTGATTTATACTCTCAATCAATATCGGATTAGAGCGCAGTCGACCCCTATGGATCTCGAGTACTGGTGAGGGAACAATCAATTGACTGATCATTCGAGTGACCCCAGTCTCATTTGCGTCTGATAGGCAGTTCAGGACATATTCACAAGCATCGTCGCCGAATGCCGTGCCACTGGGAGTTGCACATTCCTCTCTCCTAAGAAGATCTTGACATATTGTTTTATCATTCTCTGCAACTCCAACAGATTCTCTCATGTAGCTGCCTTTAGACCTAAGGTATGTTTCACAGGCATTTGTAGCATAGGGGTTAGACCTGGCCGCTGTTGTTGGTTCGAGGGTTTGTGTCACTTGCGGAATGGTTGGAGGCCTGGAAGCAAGGTGAGTATTCAATAATTGGGTGTTAGGGGTAGATTGAGGCATTTCTTTCGGCCAAATCCCGTTGTTGATCCAGTAATATACAGCAGCATCCCCTTCAAATTGTGGACTTCCTAGAGGCAACTAATATGATATTAGTTTTGATCCGGTCTCCGTTGTGCAAGAGTTACGCAGACCCACCTCCTGGTCAATATTACTATCCGGAACTGCTGGGTTCTGCTCTTGACGCTGTTTCTTGGACTGCGGTTCTGGGCTCAAGGATGATGGTTCTGGTGATTGTGCCTTCCGCTTAATCTGTGTCTTGGTCGAGGGACGTATCTATAACAAACATAGAGTCAGTATCTTAAGGCATTTCAAGTGTGCAAGTGCTCACACGATACCCTTTTATGCTGGTCTTTTTCCTGCTTAGGTTGCTTCCTTGTACTGGCCACACCCTGTGCTTTCTTTCGACGGCCACGTTTGGCTACGTTGGCGGTCTTTTGTGGTGCCGTCCTCTTCGATGCTCGTCTTGCTGTATTAGCTTGAGGATTTTGTGTCCGTCTTAAAGAGTTTCGTTTCCCCGTGATGTCTTGTTTCTTCCGTTCGCTCGTCTGGACAAGAGCACTTTGCTGACGGCCTTTCTTTTTGGAAATTGAAGCTGGCGTCGTCTCTGTGTTGGCTTCGCTTTTCAGTGTCTTTTCAATGATGCGTATGCTCCTCCGACGTCCTTGCTGATCTTGTTCCATTGTAAGCACCTGAAGTGTGATAGATTAATATTTGGATAGGGGGATCAGGAGAATGTCTCGGGATAAGCGTATGAGAAAAATGTCTTGGTTGCTGTCTAGCCACGAATTAGATGTATCTACTAATACGAAAGGGGCTTCAACAGAGTTTTAAGCCCCCAGGTACCAGGCAGGATGTGTTCGCACTCTACTAATTTAATAAAGGCTGCATTTGACAAAAGGCCTTTGCTTACCCGCCCGTTCGGTTCTTTCATCCTTTATTACCAGCACCGTACGACGTTTTTGAAGCCTGCTAAAATAAATTATGTATGGTTTCATATCAGTACAGTTTTTACCAAGTAGCCAATAATGTAATAAGAGAATTTGAGAAAAAAAAGAAAAGAAAATGTGATATGGAAAAACCTTAGTGGTGCAAAAACCGCGCGGGGCGCAAAGCAAATAAACAAACAGATATGGCAGATAATAGCAGCCGTCAGACAAATACGATCTTTAGTATTTATTACCAGCAGATCCAATATGAAGCGGATTGAATTATATAATTTACTTAATATATCTGTCTATAAAAAGCTGTATATATAATGATAATTTCAATCTTCTCATGTAGTTTCTATTTAGTGTTCTTATGTATACTTGATTTAGTATTAAATAATATGGGCTTCCTATTCTTATTACTATGCTTGACAATAAAGGTACCTATCTCCCTTCTTATTGCCTTGCCCCCTTACTAATTATTTGATAGGCTGGAATGTACCTAGATGCTTAATAGTTCTTGTCTATGTAGATGGCTTAGGATCTAGAGTTAACAAACATAATGAATATTTCCTTCAACCCTAGTCTTGACTACTCTAGAATTACTAGAGCTGCTAGTGATATCCATATCCATACAGCTAGAGTTAGTAAGGTATTAGAGCTGGAGGGTATACTATGCAAAGCTATTAAGGTTGTTCAGAGTGGGGCCTCGGCTGTCATTGTTGCATTTGTTAGATAGAAAATAGACAACTGTTTAACCAAAGTATCTACAACATCTCCCCTTTATCTATTCCTGCTCATCCTTCGGCAGCGCCCGACTACAAAACTCCCTCCACCCCTCAAACGGCAGAAACGGCGGCTCAGGCGCCTCCTCTGGATCCTTCCATTCATTCAGCGGTGGATACGGCGATTTATCAAAAACCAGCTGATAAGCATACGACTGGCGCCACGGACGCACCGGTCCCGCTGTCCGCTCAAAGGCTGTTTTGAACGAGCCTTTTTCCAACCGGACGGAGTATCTTTTAGGGAGGAAGGCGGCGTCGATGAGATTCTCTTCGTTTAAGATGTAGTTATCTGTTGGGCCGCGTGTTGTGATGGCGCGTTTTGTGAGTCTTATTTCTAGATCGAAGTGCGCTAGAACTTGTGCCTCTGTTTGAGAGGTAGTGTCGCTGTCGCTGACAGAAATCTGGTCGAGTGGTTCAGGACCAAGTGACTTCCATTCAGTCTCAGCAGCGATCCACGCGTTGAATATATGACGGAGAATTATCTGTGCTTATTAGCAATAGTTGTGGGTGTCTAGAATATCAGATAAACTCACTTCGCCGGTGCCATTCTCGTAGAATATCATTTGGATCTCTTCTTCAGAGTCTAGATTCCATGTTCCACAGAGGATGGACAGCGCAGTGTCGGTTTTGCACATAGTAGATGGAGGTTGAGGGAAATGGCTTTCTTTCAAAATTTCAAATTATTGTTGTTATTATGGAAAATAAATCGATTCAGATTATTAGAATTCCAGTTGTTTATTCAGGGAGAAGAAAAGAGAGAGGGAGGGAGATAGATAAAAATGAGATAATATAAGACATGGGAGGGGTTGGTTGCTAATGATTTACAGGGTTCTTAGTCTTCCCACTATAGGTGGGGTCTGACCTGAACCAGTAGACACAGCCCAGCTCAACTCCTGAAATGACATTATTCTATCCTTTACTCTTCCATCATTTCCACAACATGAAAACCTGTTTCTGAAATGCAGATCAGTAGCTCGCCCTGTGGCTGTAACTGGGGCCGTTTATCAGGGTCCAGCTTTTTCAGTATGAATTAGCCCCCAAGCCGCTAGTTTCAGGGTCTCCGGAACGCTTCAGCCTAGAACATAAGCCTTTAGGGCTGTCGAGATGGGGGCTCTGACAGGTTGGCCCCCAACCCGCCCAAGTGATCGACCCTGACATGTGAATACTAACTTGTAGCAGGCTCAACCACGCAAATAAGTACAATTCATCAATACCAACATGATGTATGAATTTAACTGATGTTTCTAGAATTATTAAGAACAATATATTTTGGACATATAGCATTATCTTTTGTCAAATGGCAGGTCTTTCTGACCTGCCATCTTACTATTCGTCAAGGCTTCTAACAAACCCGAAAATGTCCTCAGCCATTGAATGTAGTAAGATGGCAGGATGCAGATATCTCACGTAGGATTCAAATATTCAGGGTCCAAATATTATTTCCCCAGTCGTCGTCAAGGCTGACTTTGATTACTAGTATACTTAGTCAATACTGTAGCTGAGCTATATACCTGAAGGATTGAAGGATTGGCCCCCTTAGCCCTGTGGGATGGGTGCAAGCATGCTCTTCCCGTATAGTATCAACCAGCTAGGAACATTTGGATCCAAAATTGATACTATAGAGCTTGACACAAATATAAAATAGCGAAGATTTCTCCCAGATACCTCTATCATCACTCACACATAACCACTCGCAATCAACTTACAAGTCCAAGAGATCTATTCTATCCCCAAATCTCCAAAATGCACTTCTCAGGCTTTACAAGCTTCCTTGTTGCGACATTGGCTGCCTGCAGCGTAGCCTCTCCTGTTGACCTGGGCAAACGTGCAGAAATCACCGTTGGCTTCCGCCGTGCTGATAAGGTAGATCTTTTCTTGATATCTCACCAGTCATTATGTTCAGAGCTGAAAATTCCCCTTTGCATCAGACTCAAGCCGAAAAATACAACAAAGAGGGCCTCTACTTTGACCACGGTCATGTAATGTGGGGTGCCCAGATTGGTAAAGGAGTGTACACCTCTCCTTCCCGTGATGAGTATGAGGCGCTGGCTGCTCCTGATGCCTGGTATGTAATACACAATAACACATATCCTATGATTATCATGCTAATATGTTTTACTAGGTACTGCGTCATCAAAGCAGACCAAGCAGCCTTCGACAAAATCCCCAAAGTTTGGATCCCCGAAAAGAACCAACACAACCAGAGAATGTGGAACCAGAAAGACGAGAAGCGAATCGACGAATACATCGAAAGCCTTCACGAGAAACCATCGAGCTCTCTCCGTTTCTCGATCATGCCTCATGGTAGAGATCGCAGCCGTCAGCAAATGCTGATTGTCCCGGAACTTGCTGATAAGAAGCATTTCACCATCCACTGCTATGAGAAGAAGGAGGATGTTAAGGAGGGGCCCGTTCATTATGATAGCTGGCATCCTAAGGGTGAGAAGGGGAACTAGGCTGGTACTTATTGTGGCGGGGTGTTTTGTATGCTTAATCTAGTGTTCCGAGTGTCTTCTGTGGTTGTCTGTTGTTAAATGGTCCCCAATCAAGCCCCATCATTTCCCTCAAATTGTCATGGTGTGCTTTTTGTACTTTCATACTAGGAAAAAAAAATATATCTTTGGGTGGTTGCCCATAATATGTGATATTATCAGTAAATGTCCTTTAAATTCTTGCAATACTGTAGAAAGAACGTCAACGTGTTATTCAGTAAGCCAAAACGATGGACAGCAGGAGAGATAGGGACTGCTGCATTTCGCCTCGGGCTGAGGTTCGACGGCAATCTAACGGATCTTAATATTACCTCTAATCTAGTAGTAAGGAGCTATGCTCGATGATCTTCAAGATGTAGGATGATGTTGTATTTAACACAAAGTATCGAACGGGAGACAAACGGATGATGTAGATTCTATTCCTGACTAGGAAGGTGCGGCTCGTCTGCAGCCTTTCTATACTGTATGCTTCATGGAGGATTAGCTAGAACAACAGTCCCCAATATTCGGCAAGCTCCTAGCACAATCTAAATACACTAATAACGCAGCGGCCACAACCCCGAGTTATTCAACCGACGAACATCCCACATCATCAACCCAATCATCCTATTCCCCGGGATATGCCAACTATGAGGCAACTCGAGCCCCGACTTCTTGAAATTAAGCTTATTCTGCACCGCATATGCCTTAAGCCTCTCAACGAAAGGATCAATAACACCTCGTAAACAGCTAGGCTGGGGCGGAGGACTGCGAGTCGGGAACCCAAACTCAAGCCGAGATGCATCAGGCAACTCAGTAACAAGCGGATACCACTTCTTCCAATTCGTCCACTCTCTCCACCCATTCAAATTTAGATTATGATTTCCATTGACCAGGTTCAAAAGGCACTGGGACACAGTCTGAATCTCAACGCGGGCAACCCCTGGAAGTAAATCCCAGGTAGCAACCTCGGGCTGATACTGGCCGCGGACGCACACAATATGGCCATCCACGGGGAGGATGTCTCCTTTATGCAGCACAGAATATAGTTGCAAATGCCACAAGGCGCGATAAACGCGATATTCCTCTTCCCATGAGGGCTGGCTCAGATCCAGTTCCTTCATTGCATGGAACCTCCCGTTCCAATAAAAGTGGGCTTGGAGCAGACCCCCAAGAAATGTCAAGCATGCACAGGCTAATCGTTGAATATTGGCGGCTATGTGTATCATTTCCCATAACACGGCTCGGGATATAGAAGTGGGAGGCTTATGGCGGGCGAGAAATTCTGTTAGGCTGCGTCGTTCGGGCTCTCCTTCGTTTAGACCACTTCTTCGGAGAGAGGAATGTGCTTCACTGAATGACTCCTGGAGTTCTTCTGGTGTTAATTGTTTTAGTTCGGTGACTCTCCAGAAGTGACGGTATAGATGGCCCTTTGTTATAGGGTTACCCTTTAGAATGATGTCGACTATGTGCGTTGCTGCGGGCTCTGCCCTTTCGTTGGGATCCTTGCCTGGTTCGAAGATCTCCCGGATACGTGGGGACGCTTCGATGAGGTTCTCCAGCGTCACCCAGTCGGGGATTTGTCGGATGATGTTGCATAACACGATGTAGGGAACCCTTTTGATACTAAAGGGGTCCATCGTGATGGGTTGATCTTGCGTGGGTATTTCCAGGAGCAGGGAGGGAGCCCTTGATCGAGGTAGTTGAGGATTATTCGCCTGTGTTTCGCTCTCATTCCCTTTGGATACCCTGGGATTACAACGCACTTATATAACTCCATTTGGACTTATTGGTCTACAGAAAGGTCCCTCCTGTCCTTAATATTGAGGCAGATAAGCTCAAGCGGATGTGATTGTAGGATGTAAGGTTCTGCAAGTACCAGATAGGAACTAGGTAGCCTGATGGCAGTTCCCAATTAACCCTGTATGTGTGCGTCTTACTAGACGTGGATATCTTCCGGCCCTTATTTGTGTTTCCCCTATAGTAGAAGCAGGAGAGGCTGGCAACTTTCATTAAGCGAACTAGCTGAGTAAATAGATGATGCAAAGTTTCACCCTGCATGACCTACCCTAGTTTGGAACGTAGCTTTCCTGATCAGAAGAAATATACGGTAAGAGTATATGTAGACAGTGCTCTATCAACGCAGTGTCTGTTATTAATAAGCCAATATTAAACTCAGACCAGTTCAGCCACATACTAATTCTGGGATTAAGTACAGATGACCAAAAAAGATAAATCCAGCTTTCTTCAAAGAAGAAAAAAGCAAGCAATAAATAGAGAGAGAATAGGGAATCCCCATCTTCTAAGGTGAAAGTGGTGGTGGAAAAAAAGATGGAGTCAAAGGGGATCGAACCCTTGACCTCTCGCAGTTTCGCTATAGGTATGCAAAGCGAGCGCTCTACCACTGAGCTATAACCCCAGTTCGCTGATATTTTTGATTACATAATGTTAGATATACCACCATCGTTTCATGCAGGAAGAAAGTATCTATATCAGGTTGAACTACCTATAATCGCGTAGTCATTCAAAAATGTAGTGACAAACCTTTATTGTAAGTTATATAGTATATTTTTCTATATATATGTGTAGCTCGAACAGAGACCATCCTGGTTTCTCTAGCTATACAGTAAGTCGTGAAGTGATCAACTAAGCAGTATATCACGCAGACATATCTTGTGTAAGCACGATTTGGTACGTACAAGTTCCCTTTTCTGCCACATAATTGTAGGATAGCATTCTTGTTCCTGAACCTTATTCAGGTAAATTTAATATAACTCTAGTGGCTATTTCCGGTTGAGTTGTCTGAGCGCAGTAATAATTAGCTACTGCTTACCCCCGGGTACGACCAATGTCCCCCCTTTAGCTTAGCATCATCCGTCGCAATGCACGTGTTTGATATACCTGTCTGATATTTTATCCAAAGTCCAAAATACGAAAAACTACTATAGGTTTAGCCTATATATGACAGGTTATCCCTTGTTTTTAGTTGAGAAGCTGAAGGCACTTCCCGCTATAAAGCATTACCACCAACTTATCAAATTGGCTGCTGATAACCCATGACCGGGACTCTACGACAACAGGAACGTATGTGAAAAGGACTACTTTCATAACCAACACTTCATTAAAACATAAGCATGACTGAACATACAATCCAAAACCCCTTTGGTAATAATACTCATAGGAACATCCCGTCATAGTGGGTTTTAAACCCACTTTCCAAAAATGAACTTCTCACAATCCCAGGTCTCGAAGGACCATCTTCACTTTCTCAACTCCTCTGAGCGCTTTTGCTAAGCGCAAGACCACTTCTCATCTTCCCCAGCCCAGAGAAAATATGTCTCGGACGAGTTACTCTCAATGCCATCCTGTTGCCCATAGCTCTCATTCAAACTCACACCACCCTCTCCCTCGTCAACCTCAGCCTCAAGAAGAGATTGGACAGCACCCATGAGTAACGCAAAATTGGTCTCCTGGAATGGACGTTTATCACGCCACGGATATGGGTTGTCCGCTATGTGAGATGCCAGTGGTCTGAAGACGGGCTCGTCGAGGAAGGCGAGGGCGTCGGTTGGCGCTGAGTCTGGAGTTTGCACTGATGCAGGGGTGCTAATCATGTAGATGGGATGCGCTAGTAGAGTCCTGAAATATAACATGACTGTAGCGGATAGCAGGAGGAGAGTGAATGATAGGTTGCGGAAATCCATGGTGGTGGATGGGATGAGCTTTGAGACCAACATTGTTGATAAGTTGTGGTAGATGTGGTAGATGTGGTAGATGAAGAGGGGTGGGTAGGAGGATGGATGGGAGAATGAAGATGAAGGATGTGAAACGTCTGAGTTGAAAGGTAGAGGTGTCTTTATAGCTGCTCTTGACTTGTTAAGTTGTATTTCACTAACCCTTCTCAGAAGCGAAGTCGATGTGTCTGTTTTCTAGATGGGCTTTGAAGGCGGCATGTACCGTAGTATTCCCGGCAATGCCAAATTCGATGTATACATAGCGCAGATATGTGAACTTTGTTGCTTTCGATATATAGTACAAAACATACGTTTGCATGTGAGTTGCTGCTGCAAAGATCCAGAATACCGGAGAGATTTGCGCAGGGTCCTGAATTGTAAGGATGAAATAAAACTTTCCAACGCCAGACGGGAATATACAGTTTATTAAACTTCACCAGCCAAGGGTATCATGATCAGCTGCTCGAGACAATACTTTTGTTCAGCAAAATTAGGAAGTTTCCTGTTCATTCAGGTACTTTCGACAGGCATCCTTCAGCCTATTGATCCGCCGCTGCGTGTGCACAAATACCTCCCGATACATGTCGAGACTCTCTTGCACAACCTGCTGTCGTGTCCGCCTGCCGGCGCAAATTTCCCGCATGCGCAGCTCCATCTCCTTCCGAAGGAAGGGTTTGCTCAGAGAAGGGCTATCTGGTATACCGGCGAAGACATTATCATATCCTTCTACCAGAGCAATACCCAACCGGGTGGGTATCAGTTCTTTAACTGCGTTTCGACCGCTCCCACGCGAATGAACGGCAACGTATTGTCGTTCCTTAATTTTTGCAATGTGCTCCGCCATGGTAGCATCGGTACCGATTCCATTGGCGTCCATCAGGCCAATCAGTTCCGGTTCAGTGAGGTAATTCGGAGGTGTGGTCTTGCCGTCGAAGATCTTGGCTTCAGTGGGTTCGAACATTTCACCCATCTGGAAGTTTGGCAGTTGCTGACTACTCTCCCACTTGTCGTAGACGTAGACATCTAGATAATTCCGTTCGAGAACTAAGAGGCCCTTGGCGTGGAAGAACTCGTCACCGTATTGGATCTCGACCTCCGTCGACTGACCCTTGGCATCCTCGGAGCAGCACGCAAGGAAGCGTCGGACGACGAACTCGTAGACTTTCTTCTCGTCAGCCGTAAGAGCCGTGGGTGCGACCCAGCAAATGGGGTGTATAGGTGGGTGGGCTTGATCGTTGTGTCGACCTGATCGTGGAGTCTTGAATGCGCCGTCCAGCAGACTTCAAATGTTAGCAGCGCAGAAAGGCATGTCTGAGGGATGCTTACTGTCTAGCATATTGACCCCAGTTTCCGTCCGGTAGCTGCTTCTCAACGAGCTTTTTCAAGTCAATACCCTTGTCAAACTGGTCTGTTTCGGTACGTGGGTAACTGATGAAACCCTTCGTGTATAGGGCTTCCGCGACCTACACTGTGTGAGCCATTGCTCGAACATATGACACACCACACGGCTTACCTTCATGATTGTCTGACTGTCCATACGGAGATATCTACTTCCCATCATCTGAAGGTCCACTGTTGTCAAAGGTAGAGGTCTCCATTTGCTGGTAGGCTTTTGGGTGACCTTGGTGACTTTGGCTTTCTTTGCCATGAGACACCGCTCGAGCATCACCGTCACCGCAGCTCTGTCAAAAAGATGAACACGTTTCCAGAGGAAATTGACCTTGATCTCGTCCCGGGTATGCATAACTTTGATTCCCCAAAAGGTCTCAGGTTTGAAGTTCTTGACGCGGAGATAACGATCAACTACAAATCCGAGTGTCGGGAATTGACAGGATCCTGGTCGGTTATTAGTAGTGCTCGTACAGGGAAGGATAGAACCATACCATAGCTTATAATAGTATCTTGAAGCGCTGCAGAAAGAGGTTTCAACTGAAGCGTTTGCAGACGAGTGAACGCCGCACCGATCCGGAGATCCAGTTCGATTCTGGCCGCGACAGCGTTTGCTTGGAGGTCATCAAGTTCGATCAGTGACCGAGCAGCATGTAGCACATGGCTGTTACCCAGAGATCAGCATTGTATTTCATCTGAAAGAGGGTGATTCTCACGCCTTTTCTGTATTGCTGAACCTTGCCCGTTTGATGACAATGCGAGCGTTTCCTTCCTTTGCTTGCTTGCGGATTTCCGTTCCTATATGCTCACCTTCTCGATCACAGTCTGTCCAGATAAAAAGAGCCTTGCATCTCCGGGCTTGTTCCTGGATGTTTTTTGCAATGGCTACTTTATCCTGCCGCCAGGTATTAGCACGGATTTTATACCAGACCTTCGTGGTAGTGCGCAAAAATACATACGTCAGCCACAGACTCGTGTACTGGAGCTTCGAAGAGGGCTGATGGAGGACATGACAGCCAAGTTCTATATTGGCGTTCAAAATCCAGACCAGTTAAGTGTCCAATGACGCTGGTCATGGTCACAGAGCAAGTGCCCCAAGGGCCACCAAAATTGAAATCGAATACATAGTTTTTCACATATTGGCTCCCTCGGATGGCTATCTACAGTACAGCTACTTCAGCAACCGTAACCCTCAGAAGGTATTGGCAAGTCCCGGCATCGAGCCACTTACTGTTTGAAAGGAGCCGCCGGACAAGTGCTGGGCCACGGCTTTAGCAATGGCCGGCTTTTCTGCCACGCATAGCACCCTTTGCGTTGTCATGGCAATTGCCTGAGTTGATCAGGAAGGCTAAGGTGTGCCCATGACCGATGCTCCTTTTCAGAGCGCAACCGAAACAAAGAGTGTTGACCTTTATGGCGAAGTGGACAAACTCACATACTAATAATCTACTTTGTCGCTGTAGACGCGAAAAAGACGCGAGTCACGGGTATGGTAGGGTGCCTTTATGCCTGAAAATCTGCTGACTGCCTGAGGCTTAAATAGTGGCCTGAGCTCCCCATCATGGCCGGATTGGGACAAGTTTCAGGCCTGAATCAGGCAGCCACGGGCGGTTGCTCGGTCACGCTTCCCGGGCAGCTTGTTGTGGTAATTGTTTTGACTCCATCCACAACCCGGCCTTGTCTTGCTTCCACTCACATGCGAGAAGCTTCCCTGTCACCCCAGCAGCAACCAGCTAACTAAAATTCTTTCCTTCAGTGCATCTGACCAAGATGGCGCTACCCCTCCCTGACGTCAAGTCTGTCGTGGACTGTGCTTCCTTCAGCCACACTGTCCTACCCTTCTTGTCGCAAATCACGGCGCTTCCCGAGCGACTGCAGCTTGCAGCCGCAGCCAAGGATGTGAACATCCTCAAGGACATTTACCTCTCCACGAATCCCTTCATCTCGGCCCTCTTCTTGAGTCTAGCTCTATCAGTGCTGTTTGTCATCGCTTCGGAGATCAACAGGAACTACTCCCAGGTTGACCGGCTCTGGAGTATCCTGCCATCTATCTACAATGTGCACTTTGCTCTTTGGGCCCGCTTATCGGGCCTCCAGACTCAGAGCCTGGATACTATCGCGGCCATCACCTTGATTTGGAGTGTGAGTTACTGTGATTACCTGTGCATTATGTTCACCCCTGCTAACCTGCCCAGGCACGCTTGACGTTCAACTACTGGCGCCGTGGTGGCTACTCAATCGGCTCGGAAGACTACCGTTGGCAAATCGTCCGCTCCAAGGTCAACAACCGCTTCGTCTTCTTCATTTTCAACATCGCCTTCATCAGCCTGACGCAGTCCTTGCTCCTGCTTTTGATCACCGCCCCAACCTACAACTTCCTCCTTCTCTCGCGTCTGTCGGACCACAAGTCCTTTGAGGTTCCGGACCTTGTCTTCTCCCGGGTGGCCTTCTTCTTCATTATCATCGAGTACTTCGCCGATCAGCAGCAATGGAACTTCCAGACTGCTAAGCACAACTACCAGCAGACTGCTCGCATCCCTGACCAGTACAAGGGCCGGTACGAGCCCGAGGATCTGGAGCGCGGGTTCGTCGTCAGTGGTCTCTGGTCCCTGTCTCGTCACCCGAACTTCCTCTGTGAGCAGGCCATCTGGCTCACTCTGTACCTCTGGAACTGCTACCGCACTGAATCCTACGTCCAGTGGACCGGCATTGGTGTCTTGGGCCTTCTGCTCATCTTCCAGGGTAGCGTTCGTCTCACCGAATCGATCAGCGCCGGCAAGTACCCTGAGTACAAGGAATACCAGGCTCGCGTGGGACGCTTCATTCCCCGTTTCTCGGTCAAGCCCAAGTACAAGAGCAGCAAGAAGAAGGCTCGCAAGGCTGTCACTGAGCAGCCCGAGAGCGAGCAGACTCACGAGGCGGACAAGAAGAGCCAGTGATTTTGGGGGATACTTGATGTGCCGCTCACATTGATCTGCCTTTATTTCGGTTCTGGGTGTTTTTTATCTTCATTGGTCGCGGTTTCATTTGATATTTTCGAGTTATTTTGGAGTACATAATTTTTGGTGTTGGATCTTCTGGAAAACATATATTATTCTGCTGTTTGCATATATATTTTGTCATGTTCGCTTTTGATATCCTTGTCGAATTTATGAAAAGTTCCATCACTGAAGAAGCACGCGGCGATTGGGCTGGCCCCTTGTGCTTTGAATTTGGCAGCACGCCTTCTAGTTTCTAAATTGCAAGACAAATGTTGTATTGCAGACCCAAATCAGTTCTATTCACTAGTATAATAACTCTACACCTCGCAACGGCCTACGATGTCACTTGAGTCATAGTAAAATATAATTTGAACTCGCCTACCATCTATATTCGAAAACCAATATAAAATAACTACCTACTATACAGTACAATACAGTACACCGAACACTTTCTTCAAGAAAGCGAACGAGGAAAGAGAAAGGGAGAAGCCAGGCGGTGAAGATCAGAGATATCAAGGTGACGGATGATTGACCGCTGGGATAGATGTCCAAGAGTGATAGGGAAAGGAGTAGAGAAGTGGGGGAGGTAACTCCGGAGCAAAGTACCAAGCACGCAGGAAACACAGAAAAAGGGTCATAGTCCTAATATTTATGGCGACAACTTGGAAGGTAACAAACAGCAGACGGATGGGATGCGAAAACAGAGGGAAATTGTTAGAAAGGAGATGCTCCGAGTTGACACGCACACACAAAGGATAAATAAGTACAAAACCCAAGCGAGGACACGAGGAAAGTAAAAAAGGACAACGATATATGATATGAGTAAGAAGACAAGCATGCAAAAACCCCCGCCTCGCCGCACCTTTCGTCAGCCGTGAGTGATGATGTTCTTGGGAGAGAAGAATAGTATTCGAGGATTTCCAATGAGGATTTGCATCATCTATGGGGGAATAGGGGTGGAGTCGCGGCCGTCCTTGCCTTCAGTGGATTCCGTGGGCTCAGGGGGAGCGATGGTGGCGCCGCCGCGGCCGTCGAAGTACTTGGCGAACTCGTTGGATTCAGGCCATTCTCTCGGGCCCAGAAGACGGATCATGTCGTCGCGGCTGAGGACTTCCTTGGAGAGGAGTTCCTCGGCCACGATGCCGACTTCCTTCTTCTTCTTGGTCAGAAGGTCGCGGCACTGCTCGTGGGCTTGATCGATGATGCGGCGGACTTCAGCGTCGATATCCCGAGCCGTTTCTTCGGAGAAAGGCTTGTGCATCTGGCTCTTCGGGTCCTCCTCGTAGTAGATGTAGCGTAGCTTTGAGGACATACCGAACTTCGTCACCATGGCGGTGGCCATCTGGGTGACCTTGTTGAAGTCGTCGCTGGCTCCGCTAGTCACTGTGTCGAAGTGCAGTTCCTCGCTGACACGTCCTCCCAGAGTCATGGCCATACGGTCCATGAGCTGGTTTCCGTTCATCAGGTAGGTGTCGCCGTTGGCAGGCAGATATTGGGCATAACCCAGAGCGCCTTGGCCACGGGGAATGATGGAAACCTTGAGAAGAGGATCAGCCCAGCGGAAGTACCATCCACAAATGGCATGTCCGGCCTCGTGGTAGGCCACAACGCGCTTTTCCTCGGGAGAAAGAACAAGAGACTTCTTCTCCAAGCCACCGATGACACGTTCAATGGCCTGCTCGAAGTGCTTCATGGTGACATGATCGGCGTTTTCACGGGCCGCTGTACAGAAGTTGGTCAGTATAGAACTGATGGAATAGGGAGGTTATTTCAGGAAATTGTGTACTTACCAACCAAAGCGGCTTCGTTGACGCAGTTTGCAATATCAGCACCAGCAAAACCGGGAGTCAAAGCCGAAAGTCTTCCTTGCAGGTATTCCATGTCCTCCTTCGTCACGATCTTCTTCAGGTGAACGCCAAAGATCTGCTTACGACCATCCATGGTAGGCCGGTCGATAGAGATGTGCCGATCAAATCGTCCAGGACGCATCAGAGCCTGATCGAGAACGTCGGGCCTGTTCGTGCCAGCCAACACCACCACTTGCTCAGAAGTGTTGAAACCGTCCATTTCGGTCAGGATCTGGTTGAGGGTACTCTCACGCTCATCGTTGCCGCCGCCGTAGTTCGACTTCGCTCTTGATTTACCGATAGCATCAATTTCATCGATGAAGATAATGCAGGGCGTCGACTTCCGCGCGTTGGCAAACAGATCACGAACTCGGGAAGGACCGACACCGACGAACATCTCGACAAACTCTGAACCACTGACACTGAAGAAGGGCACGCCGGATTCACCAGCCGTGGCCTTGGCAAGTAACGTCTTACCGGTACCCGGAGGACCCGAGAGGATCGCACCACGGGGAATCTTAGCACCAAGCTTCTGGAAGCGTTCTGGGTTCTTCAGGAAGCTGACGAATTCCATGATTTCCACCTTGGCTTCGTCCATACCGGCCACGTCGGAGAACTTGATCTTAATGTCGGTCTCTTGGTTGAAACGTTTGGCACGGCTCTTGCCAATGCCAAAGATGCCACCTTGACCACCTCCGCTACCTGCACGCCTCGACAGGAAATACACACCCGCCAAAAGAAGAACCGTGGGACCGAAGCTTATGAGTGTCGCAGCCCAAGGGACTTCACCCTGGTAGTTGACAGGAATGCGTTCAGCACTAGGGACACCAAGTTCCTGCTGGGCCTCCTCCAATTTCCGCTCAAAGCCGTCGACGGATCCGATGGTGAAGTAGTAGTAAAATCCAGGGTGAGCAGCAGGCGAATCGGGGTAGACTTGAGCCACCGCATCACGGTGAAGTTCGACCCGAACCCGGGTGTTGTTGATGACGGTCAGCCTCTCAACCAAGCCCCTGTCAAGGAAGTTTGCCCTGAACTCCTGCCATGTGATATCGCTGCTGTTCTCGCTCGGGTAGAAACTGCGATAGATATAGTAACTGACAATCAAGCCCGCCCAGAAATATATGTTGTCGAGCTTGAAAACAACCATGTCTTTAGGGTCCGGCGGATTCTTGCCAAATGGGTTCTGGTCCTTCTGCTTCTTGTCTTGTCCTTGGTCCTTCTTCCCTTCCCGATCCTTTTCTCCCTCTTTCCCTGGTTGCTTTCCTTCCTCTGCATGTTTCTTCTCCAGTTCCTCGATTTCCTTCATCATTCGCTCGCTTTCGATCCGCGCTACGCCACGAGCGATCTCATCGAGGTAAGAGGCCAGGTCGCGCATCAAACGCATATATGTCATGAGGGAGGCAGGACGCCCGGTGGCGATATGGTTATCGATGAATTCCTTCACCGGCGGAGGTAATCCGTTCCTCTCAACGTGCAGTTTCACGTCGTCGAGCATCTCATGTTGACTCCGTGGTGACCGTTCTTTCAAATGTGCGATGAATTCGTCTAAATGCTTCTGTTGTTCCTTGGTGAGCACATTCGTCTCTTCCGGCTTCTTCGGGTCTCCGCCGTTATTCCCGGGCCCGGTTGATGAGCCCGTGTTCTTGTTGTTGCCATTGTCGTTCGGAGGGTTCGGTCCACCGGAGGGCTGGGTAGCGAAGGTCCTGGCTCGGTGTGCGATGATCAGGGCTGACAGTCTTGACTGCGGAGCGTGTGCAGAGAGCGGCCTTGTGCGGTAAAGGCAGTCTGCGGCTCTCCTCGAATATCGAGCAAGGTTGCCAGGCCGCCGGAGCAGAGAGGCCATGGTCGAGGATGATGAGCCCGGAGGCTAAGGTAAAGGCGCGGCGGAGTTCTGAAAATTCAATGGCACCTCGAGGCTGATGCGGCCATAGAGGCTCTTCTTGAAACGGAGGTGGCGGGGAAGGTGGAAAGCTCTTGGAGGAGCTGAGGTCGCCTGGGAAGTTCGCTCACGCGCTTTCCCGCCTTCTTGCGTTTTTCGTCCTTCCGTTCGCCGGCTGACTCATCTGCCCACCGCCGCCGCCGGCCAGAACCCAAAGGAAGTCGGTGGACCTCAAACCCATCAGTAATCCTGGTTGTGCTTGGAAGAGTGCACAATTAGGTCGAGATCTTATGCTGATGTCACTCTTCAACTATCTGTCTGTGGTTTACGGCATGGAAAGGGTAGATGCTGGAAGCGGGTGGTGGTGATGACGGTAGTAGCACCTGGTGGGGAATGCTGAGATTACGCACTAGATAGCCTACTAAAGTAGTGATGCCATAGGAGGGTCCTAATGCAAGTTACTCTTTACAATTATACTGCTCTTGCTAAGGTTGCATAGGAGTAAAGCACTTGATAATGATCATTTGGTCCCAGAAGACCTAAAGCACAATCCTCCGGTCCACTAGCACTTCACACAACGGGTGATTCTATAGAGCACGTCTTTGTATGATTAAGTCAATATACCTGCAAAGAAAGCAATAATTTGGACATGAAAGTTCATCCCAGAGACCACTGGATACTTTTGGATAGGAAAAGCTTGAAACAACAGAACAAACCCAACTCCATCATAACCTCAAGGTATCGAACCCGACTACATAGCCGGGGAGAAAGAAAGGTAAGAAACGCATAGCCCTTTAGTCGACATCCATCTCCTCCTGAGTAGTTCCATCCACCAACATTCTGGTCTTCTTCTTCTGTCTGAGACGCTCCTCTCCGTGCAGTCTGCTTGCCTTGGCAGTCTCGGCCACCAAGGGCTGTCCCTCTTCCCGCTCGCGGAGCTCCTTGCGAATGAGGTGCTCGCCCTCCATGACCACCTTGCGATCCGCCTCGCGCTTGCGGTCCCGCGCAAGCTTGCCTGCCAAACGACGCTTCGTGAACACACGCTCCCTGCGCTGCCGGATCTCCTCCACTCTCTCCATCGCCTTGATAGTCGCCGCAACCAGGTTTCTGTCGTACTTGACGGGGACGTTTCTCTTCTTGGCGAACTGGGACAGCACCAGCGACGAGTCGACAATCATCTCCTTGCCCTTGGCAGCGCGACCGGCCTTGGTCCACTTCACACGTCTCGGTTGCCGCTTAGCCTTGAAGTTCTGATGGGTGGTAAAAGTTAGCTTAAACCTGATAAGACTGGGCGGGGCTGGGGGACTTATCATTTGCTTCTGCAGAACCGGAATGCCTTGGCGTCATTTCTAACAAACTGAATACCCTTGCTAGGGTAGACAGGCCTAGAGCAAAAGTGGCACGTTTCAACTCTGTCAGGTAGGTCAGCCGCAAGTCCTTACCGCTGGTCAAATTTCTTCCGGGATGAGCAGAGGCAAAACGCCGGGGCACGCACCTCATGTTGGGCTAGTGGTTTCGAGTATGTGAGCCCGAAAGCGGCGATTAGATGAAGTAAAAGGAGAACTCCGAAAAATATAGTAAGAAGCCGCAAACAACTCCTCGATCCCACCGTCGTGTAAAGAAGATCTCCGATGTTCAGGACAGGAACCGCATCAAAAATTGAAGCGTGGAGCAACCGGCGCTAAACCATAACGGGTAATGCGGCGCCGCTCCGATTTTTTATCTGGACTTCCGCCTCTCCCCCAACGTCACTCCTTGGATATCCCTCCTGCTGTGTCCTACGACCCTCACTCCGTCTACTTCTGAATTAGTCACTCGACTGTTTCAAGATGTCTACCATTGCTATCGGTCTCGGTGTCGCTACTGCGGCCTTCTTGGTAAGTCCGACTTGGGAACTGGACTGTATCTGCATAATGGATGACAGGAGGCTAATACGTACTCTCATCTGCTAGGGTCGCGCCGGTCTTCTTGCCTACCGTCGCTCCAAGGGAGGTGTGAATGCCATGGGCAAGGCCTTCTACAAGGGGTGAGCCACACACTGTTGTGTTATGATTTACCGGCATCGATCACTAACTGGTATACAGAGGTTTCGAGCCGCGCATGAACCGCCGTGAAGCTGCCTTGATTCTCGAGCTTCCGTACGTTTCAACCCTTCAGACACGTTATATTATTCGACTTCTAACCAAATATATAGGGAGCGTACCCTTAACAAGGACAAGGTCCGCAAGAAGCACCGCCAGCTCATGCTTCTCAACCACCCCGATCGTGGCGGCAGCCCCTACTTGGCGACCAAGATCAACGAGGCCAAGGAGTTCCTCGACAAACACACTTAAGGCTCTTCCAACGCGGATCCTCCATTGACGACTGTTCGGGGCGTTGTTGGATTGGGAGAGGAAAACACGAACATGCTAGGGATGCTTTAGGTATCTTCCTATTGTACAAGAGAGATTCTTCTTAGGGTGAGCATAGCGAGGCGTTGGTGGGATTTCTTTTTTCGAAGACGAAAGATATGTCTTTGTGTGCTCCTTGCGTGGGGCTTTGTACTATTGTCTACTATATCCTGATGAGATCGCCACTCCTGAATATATAACTATCTGTTTGGTATCACGTCTTTCATTATACCTTCTGCCCTTCCAAGGACCTATTGGTTGGTCTGTTGGGTAAGTCTAAAGTATGCGTGTCTGGCGGAGATTGGTCTTCAGCCACTGCCATTATTCTGGAAACAACAGCGATATGATCATTGATCTCGCGTCAGTCCCTCGTCACTTGCTTCATGATTGTACGGCACTTTCAGGAGTGTAGAACCGTCACAGGTCCTTACTTTATCAGGTGAATGAATGCAGACGGGGATTGACAGTCCAAGCACTCACATGCCCATGCGCTAGACAACCAGTATCCACGTTTCATCAGGCTACTACTACTGCTTATGGGTCCAAGATTCACCCCTGAAATAGCTAGTTAGACACACGTCACTCAAGTTGGCAGCCTAAAACGCCCCCGATCTGAAGCGGGAAGAGTTGAGCCAGATAGACGGCAATAGATAGAACCCCACCGATAGAGAAAGAAACATGGAGCAGGGGTTTAAACTGCCGCCGGACAGGGCAAAGTCCGAAAGACCGATGGGCGCCAGGAAATTCAGGAAAAGAGCCAGACTGCCAAGCCAAGGCCGGCCGGGACGGACTGTTCGGAGAAAAAGCCATCCGTCACCTGCCATTTTCATTCGTCCAGAAACGGAGCCCGGTTGGATCAGATTCCGTGCTGCTGGACTAGTCAACTCTGGGTCTTGAATAGAATTCTAGTACTCTGTAAGTACTGGGTAAGACTAGACTAGGACTGGGGAACCATGCGAGTCGTCACGGTAAGCTGTACTGGAGACTACAACATGGCTCATACTGAGTAGATCATTCCAAGGAGAGATTTTCACTTATCAGAATACGTGAATACGAGGCAATGATAACTGTCCCTGATCAGTAGTGGTTAACAGCATTAATTAAGAACCTCAAGCGACTTCCAACACACTCTCAGCCGATCTTTGTAGATGATCCCTTAAGTCCGTCCGCAGCGCTACTTACCTCCGTTTCAGGGACAAACAAAGAGTATTGACTGGAACAGTATCGAAGCTTTGCTTACCTACTCGTTTTTTCATCCTTTTACCCTTTCTTACTCTTTTAGGGCAGACAAAGCCAGAAAGGCAGCAAAGCTGTTACGTGACCAGTTGAACCTTGAACCTTCGTTAGCTCGATGACTCCTCCAACTTTCATCCAGGAGCTGTGACTGACGATCGTGTTCATCTTTTCTTTTTTTTCTTTCTTGTGGCATGCCCCCATTCTTTTCTGATGGATACTTGTTAAGTCTGTCTGACAGATCAGATCAAATTCCCTTCAGTCCCTCATTTTCCCCTCTTGTGAAGCTTTGACATCATCTCCGTTACATTTCTTTTCTTACCCCAATTTTTTAAAAGTACATTTTTCGCCTTATCGTGCTAGACTCTCGCCACGTGCCTGTATCGGGGAAAGATTGGATTGATTGAGTAAGCCACACTCTTCTTCTCTCAGCCATTCCATCATTCATCGCCTTACGGTCTAATTCCTCCTCCCCCCTTTGCCTTCGACTACTTTTCAATCATAATTTTTCCCCCACCGACTACAGGCTCTAACCCCAGCTCACCCTAGTCGTTCCTTATCGGCATCTGGATTTTCGCGACACCTTCCCGCCCTAACGGCCGCTCCCTTCCATCTGCCCGTTGACGTCGTCGGGGACGAACCCCGCATCGCCCAAGACGCTCGAAGCATACCCGCTTGCACTGGGACTCCACTCCCTCACATAGGCAGGCTCCTATACTTTGCACCTTGCTGGATCCTCGCCCCCACGTCACCATGGACGGCATCGGGGAAGCGCCCGATGGCATGGGCTTTGACATGCCAATGCTCATGAACCAACAGCAGCAATTCTACGGCGCCTATGGACCGGATGGTTCGCCGATGGCATCCGCTCACCAAAACATGTCTTACCAGGATGAGCAGTCAATGGGCGTCGGAGAAGATACCAATGATGCGAAGAGGCGAAGAATTGCAAGGGTAAGTCGCTAGTATGCGCATGAAGTGTTTTCGGGGGGTTCGGGGCGCTGATTGTTCGCCGCATAGGCATGCGACATGTGCCGGAAGAAGAAAATCAAGTGTGATGGGAAAATGCCCAAGTGCTCGCACTGCATCAATTACAAGACAGATTGTGTGTTCACACAAGTCGAGAAGAAACGGAATCCGCCAAAGGGGTATGTACTCCGTCTGCTACCGGTCCCTGTATTCTATATCGCTGACGGGTTTGCTCTTGTACAGCGCCAAATATATCGAAGGACTGGAAAACCGTCTGGGAAGGATGGAGTCGCTGCTCCGTCTTTCTGGATTACTGTCCGAAGACGATGGTGGAAAGACTGATTTGGGAACGTTGGAGAAACGCCTGGCCGATCGATCGCTGGCAAACGGTGGCATAAGCCGTCCTAAAAGTCCGAACAAATTCACCGCTCCTCAATCCAACGCTCAATCACAACCGACGACTTCATCGCATCATTCTACCCCCCGTGTTGAGTCTCAGTCTAGCCCGCGCACAGCTGCTACGTCGCCGGAATCACAGAAGGAATCGGAAACCGAGGTCGAGGGCTTGTCGGATATGATGTGCTCGTTAGTGACGAACAATTGCGGAGAAACGCGCTATATTGGTGAGTGCTTTTGGATGATCACAGCATGGGCTGGCATTAATAAATGACAGGGTCCTCTTCGGGGTTCTCGATTTTCTCTCCCAAGGGTATCCAGTGGGTCAACGAGAAGACCGGCGACACTTCCTTCCAAGACATGATATCTTCTGCCTATATCGACGACAACAAGTGGATGTATTGGAAGCCCGAGATATTCAGCGACATCTTTGCCCGTCGCGTGTTCAAGCCATTGCCGCCCAAGGAAGAGGCTATGTCTCTCTTTCGAGACTTCTTTTCCAACTTTAACTGTATGTTCCCACTCTTCCACGAGCCGACATTCATGCACTTGGTGGAACGCCAGTATTCTCGGGATCCGTACGAAGGTTCTGGCTGGTGGGCTAGTATCAACGTGGTCCTGGCGATCTCGCACCGACTTCGAGTTATGAGCAATCTAGTGCCGCAGGAAGAAGACAAGAAGGCTTGGCTATACCTGAAGAACGCTATGGCTGTTTTGACCGAGCTTACTATGCGAAACACGGATTTACTAAGCGTTCAGGCCCTACTCGGCATGGTAAGTGATCCACTTCAGAAGTACTTTTGATATAGTCTTAGTGCTCATCGATCCGTAGTCGCTTTTCTTGCAGGGGACACCAAACCCCCAGCCGTCCTTTTTCCTCGTTGCAGCTGCCATTCGACTTTCTCACAGTATTGGTCTGCACAAGCGGGGTTCTGGATTTGGCTTGAATCCAGTGGAGGTGGAACAGCGGAAACGAGTGTTTTGGATTGCTTACCTTCTGGACAAAGAGTGAGTCAGATTCCATGTACCTGACCAACTCCCGTTTAACGTTCAAACAGTATCTGTCTTCGGTCCGGTCGCCCGCCTGTTCAAGATGATGATGACATGAACGTCGAGTTACCGAGTGATGACCCCCCGGACAACATCGGCAACGTCCCGTTATCGGACGGTACCAAATTCAACCTGTTCAGATCCATGTGCCGCTTTGCCATCATTGAAAGCCGAGTGTACAAGCGACTCTATTCCGCCAAAGCATCGAAGCAGTCTGACGGCGAGTTGTTGAACACTATTGGAGATCTTGACAAGGAGCTCGAGGAATGGAAGGATAGCATTCCTGTTGAACTCCGACCAGAAAACGAAATCAAGACCACCCACACGCCCCTTATCCTGCACGTTGTTGTGCTTCATTTTGCGTACTACAACTGCTTGACTACTATCCACCGCATGTCCGTACATCATGGCTACTGGACGAGCCGGTTATCCAATTATGCGATTCAAGGTCTGAACGCGAGACCGTTGAATCCCAGAGTATTCTTGTCGGCAGTTCTCTGTGTAACGGCTGCGAGAGCTTCTATTAATCTGATCAAATACATACCCCAAGGCGATTTTGCCTGTGTCTGGTGAGTACTGCGCTGAAATGGACTGCCGGTCAGTAATTAACATGGATAGGTTGATACTTTATTATCCGGTCTCCTCACTGGTTACCCTATTTGCTAATATTCTGCAAAATCCTAATGATGCGCGGGCTCGCTCCGACGTCAAGTTGATGAACGTGGTCGTCAACTTCCTGTCTACTCTCGTCTCCGACGAGTCGAACGGAAGTGTCAAGCGTATGCTTGCTCTTTGCGGTGAATTCGAACGCATCGCCCAGGTAGTCCTCGACAAAGCCGAAAGAGACAGCCACTCGAAGAAGAAACGCAAATCTGCTCCCGACGAACCACGGCATGCACCAGGGCACACAGCAGATGGAAATCGCCAGCCCGCTACACCAGCCGCGAAGCCAACAGATTCAGCACCGCCGCAACCTCCCACGACCGTTCCCTTCTCATCTCCCTCGTTCTCTAATAATCCAAATCAGCCCGCAGCCAACATCCCTAATGAGCCACGAAATTTCACCCCAGGCCAGCCGCTCTCTGGAGCGAACGGCTTCACCACGAATCTCCAGGACAGCATGCACGGTCTATCAGGCCTTGGTGGAGACTTTGAAATGCTCAGTCCAGGTAACCTGGAAGGCGTGAACTTCGGCGACCAAGCGCCCTTCACAGCCAGTCCCGATACCCCTCTAGCACCCTTCCAACAACCCTTCGTCCCACAAGACCTCTGGCAAATGCCAATGACCATCGAATGGGACTGGGCAGATATGTCGAATAACTTCCCCGTCTTCGGTGATACCAACAACGGTCCACCAAACGGGCCATAATATGACGACACGAAGAACCCTCCCAATTTTCAAATCCATATTTTTCCCGGTTCCAGCGGACGCCTGGGGTCTTCAGCACGTACATACAGACAATTTGTCACTTCCTTCCTCTTCTCTGACCATATTATAATTCGTCTGAGCTTCTGGCGTTTTCAAAAAGTCTAGGACGCACGCGCACAGCTATCACGCCACTCCACTATGATTGATTTTTCTTTTCTTTCTTATTGTCACTACTTCCTACTCCCTCCTCATCTACTTTTCTTCGGTCTTCTTTACATATGTTCTTTTTTGGGGGAAAGCTTTCTTAAGGGAAAGACTGCACTTGATACTTTTCTGAGTTTACATGTTTGGCGTCGGTCGGCGAAATATACATCGGGTTTGAAGGTGTAATATTATCATACATACGTGATAGGTAGTGATTTACTATCGAGTTACTTACTACTCTTTTTTCTCTGTCTCTAGAATTATTATCTATTATACCTCGCTATAAATTAGTAGAGTGGCATAGATTACTTTGACACGTGGTTTCCACATTAGGAACAATGGGTGATGAAAGAAGAATCAAAGTTACTGCACCATACATTTGATTATGAATATACACAGTTTCATCCCTTCAAAGGTCATGTTTCCAATTCAAGAACCCCACTAAAACGGTAGAATACAAGATATACAAACGATGCTATGCATCTAGACCTCCGCATCACGTAAAAACGTAGTTATTTATTCGTATAATGTATTGATTGATCGATTGATTCGTTAATCGAATGTAGAAGATGAACTTCCCTCCTTCACGGCCCCTCAGCCGGATCATAAAAATAGGGGATAATGCAAGATCATGACGTTCGGTTACAATGACCGAGATATAGTATAGAGTGTAAGGAAAAAAAGTGAAGCAAAGGGAAATGAGGACCAAGAAATAATACGCAAAAACACCTTGACGGCTGGTACGAGGATGCAGCGACTTAATAGGTACAAAAAATTCCAAAGGACAAAGGAAATTGGTATAAACGGACATTGTGAGTGTGGGTGGTGGTGGTGGGTCGGCGGACCTTGTTCGGTAAACCTGGCCGAGGTATACAAATCCTGGGGTAAAACTGGCATACATGCAAAAGGGGGTGTTCCAACTCCAGTTTCAACGCAACTAGTCAAAAAAGAATAACCGGCATTTACAGAAGTCGCGCAAAGCTCGTACATGTCATCAAGTGATGGCTGCGATACAGCGGTCTGGCCAGCGATCCAAGGCTGAACCAGAATGAATATGAAGATCCGGAGGGGTGGGAAGGAGGGAGTCTAGACGGACGTGAGTCGTCGTTCTACTCTTCCATTCGGCCGAAGACGCCGTCGTCATCATCGTCTGCCTGTGTAGGCCGGCTTCCGAAGTCGACGTCCGCGTTGCGATGCTGCCGCTTGGCACGGTCAGCATTGCCCGTCCTCACTTCTCGCTCATCGGACACCTTGTATGACAAGGAGGGGTTGAATGACAGCGAGAGGAAGTTCGGGGTGGTGCTGGAGAAAGCCGCATCGGTAGCATCTGTTCTCGATTGATCCAGGCTACGGCCCTGGTTATCGACGGAGCTAGCTTGATCCAAGTAGCGGGTAGGGAGTGGAGGCACCGGTGGCACGCTCGGAGACATTTGCTGTGGCCCCATGCGCGGGGTTCCAAAGTTGCAAAGTCCGATGGCAGCAGCCAAGTCGGCCTCATCGTCTTCGTGCAGCTTGGCTTCGGCGGTGGAAGGTCGGGTGTCGATACTGGAATGGCGGAAATGCGAAAACGCCGGTGACGCCCATGGGGCACTGCTGGTGAAGGAGCTCGAGGGACCGGACTGGTAGGAATGGGAGAAATGGGCTGACAGGTTGCCAGCGCTGTACCGCTTGTCCATCGTTGCCGGCTCCATAGACATGTCTTCGTCGTCATCGTCATCATCTTCGTCCATCGGAGGCGGGGTCGTCTCAGCTGAGCTGAGGCCGTCCCGAAGCTCCGACGACGCATCTGGTGACGCGGAAGAAAGATCCGACTCGGCCTCTCCGTTCTCTTCCGGACCATCCTGAGTCATGGTGACCAGAACGGAGGCAGCCTCCAGCAACTGGACCTGCTGATGTTTGGAGATCAAAAGCTTCGAGGTAATTGCCCATGCAGGGTCGTGTTCCCACCTAAGTTCCATAAAACGTCAACCCACTGCGTCCCAGCACGGCATGAGAGAGGTAGAGGAGAGGAGAAGTGAGATCAGGGGAGCTGGATGACCACGAGGGCGACCTTGCACAGAGCCGACATGGCGCATTGCTCCGGACCGAGCCAGACGGCAGGATGGCATGGGGGGAGGATACACACATATGCTTGGACAAGCAGCTGCCATGCTTATACCCTTTCCCGCAGCGATCGCAGCGAAGGTCTGCCATGGCACGCTTCCCTTCGCCTTTGACCAGGTGCGATCCTTCGCTGGCCCGTCTGTTTCGGTTCTTAGTGCTGACCGGCTTGGGATTCGGGTTATTGGCATCTGCATTTGTCGGACCCGTCGACGATCCATCGTTGGCCTGGTTGGGTGACGTCTTGCGAGCGACCGGCGGTTCTTGGCTGGGACTGTTCATGCTTCGTGAAAGATAAGAGCCGAAACCGGAGGGGGCTCCGACCGAGCTGGACTCTAGGCCCTTCCGGCTCCCGCGCCGATGAGAGGGCATCGTAAGCCCCGACCCATCGCCAGGAGCCTCCTTCATAGACGCCGCGACCGCGGCGGCGGCAGCATTTGCGGCGGCAGCGGTAGTAACGCTCTTGCGGCGAGTCACCCGGAAATTGGAGTTGACGGCACCGAGGGAGATGGAGTGAGAATGGTGGCGGGAGTTATGTTGGGGGAGCGGACGGGAAAGGGACAATTCCTAAGAGATAAGTATGACTGTGTTAGCCTGACCCACTGGGAAAGGGTGGTGGTGATTGCATCCACACACGACTATAGCCGGAGTGGCCATGAAAGGGAAGCTGGAGAGTTACCTTGAACGAGGCCATCTTTGAGTACGTGGACTCTCAGGCCTACAATTCGATGAATGCCCTTATTGTGGCGAGCGATGGAGAATGAGTAATCGATGCGGAGTGCTGGTTGCTGATAAGCAGCAAGTGGTGGTGAGGTTGAAGCTGAAGAGGGAGAATAAAAAAAAAAAGAGAGAGGCGAAAGAAAGGAAAGAGGAGAAAGTGAGAGACGGTTGGAAAGCTAGTTTAACTGGTAGGCGAATCCCAGGGATACGAGCGGGCGACCAGGTACCTGCGAGGCTAAGGGTAAAAAGGTTCAGGACCCAAGCACAAGCAAAGCAGTCAATCACGGGGGCAATTGGGGGGGGCGAGATAGATTTAGTAGATAAAGGGAGAGTAAGATGGGTGGATCAATGAAAGAAAGGGGAGAAGGAAATAGTGGAAGAGTAAAGTAGAGGTAAAAATGGAAGATGGAAGGGGAGGAGGAAGAAGTACAAGAGGGAGGGAAAGTTTAGAGGAGAGAGAGAGAGAGAGAGAGAGAGAGAGAGAGAGTAAGAGACAAAAAGAGGAGAAAGAGGAGACAAGACCAGACAAGACAGACAGACAAGACACAGACACAGAACCAGAGACAGTCACGACTAAACAGCTACTGTTACTAGTGAGTGGTTAACAAAAAAAGCTGCAGGGCGATGCAAAGATGGACGGATTGGATGGCAGCACGAGGCCGTCTGGCTGGGACGGGTTACAGCCCTTGATTGGATGAGGCCATTGTACGATTACTGCGACTTTACAGAATTACCGGAAATCTACTAAATTTAATGATGAATGACGATATGCTCCCGTATTGATCTAAATATTTTAAGGTAATTTTTACTCCCTTCCTTCCTCTTTTTGTTTAATTTCATTACATTTATTTTGCGGGGGGTGTCGCCATTTTTCCAATTTGGCCCTTTTTGGGTTCGCTAGTCCAAGTCCAGGAGTTGGCCTTGAGCAATGCGGGGGTTCGGGCGATCAGACACTGGGAAAAGTTGCTAAAAGTGCTCCATTTAATTTCGCCATTCAGCTTATCCGTCAGCTTCGGGCAAAATCACTAAAGAAAAAAAATAATTGCCGCTGGTTTGCAGTCAACCTGACGATTATCTTACTTTGAAACAGTTGATTGATTCAATAGAAGGATTGGAATTCCTTCAGGATCTTCTGCTGATTACTACTACTATTATTATTACTTTTCTTTCTCACCATCCTGGTCAGGGTTTGCCCTGGTTCCTGACTAACCGGCGGCCAGCAAGAAGAAGAACAACCAGGCAAGTGATGTGATTTGCTCCACTCGCATCGGGGTTCCGAGAGAAGTGGACTGGAAGGGAACGGGAGACCCAGGTCTGGATGGATGGATGATATCAACCAGTGCCTTGGAGGGTTCCATTGAGAAAAAAAACATCTTGTCAAAAAATAAAAAAAAATTATTTAGGTTATAATAACACACAATTATTACAAAGGAGAAAAAGGAAGGAAAATAGAAAAACAAGAATGGTCCAGAAGGTGATTAATCCGCGGAGAGCTTTCATGGAATGTTTCTGCTTGTCTGTCTTGCTTTTTTGGCTGTCTACTATTTCTGGGAACTCTGTCGCAAAAGGACAAGTGTAGTTCCCAGTCCGTCGTCACCTGTTGGACTGATCATCCGTTCAGCAGCAGCCCACCAGCTCTGGTATGGATGGTGACACCCCAGACATTTTTCTTTTTTCCCAAACTTTTTTCTTGCTTCTTCTTTTTTGTTTCTTTTTCTGCCTTGTTGTCCTTTTAAAAAATAGTTGAGACGGTCTAGAATGCAAATAAAAAAAGTCTTGTAAGAAAAAGAAATAATATGTCGTCAGGTACAATGATCTCCGAAAAGAGAAAGAACAGGAAAAGAAATCCAACAGGTGACAATTATGATTTTCACTCACTCCCAAAGAATCAGAGGAAACGAACTAGACTAATGCCAGTAATCGATCCATTGTGGTACAATGAATGGATGACTGACTTTAAGTGACTGACTTTCCCACCAAAAATCACTCACTCACTTTGCTGATCGGGGGTGCCCGCCCCGTGGCCATGACCATACGGTAATTTATTACGCTGCGATGGACCGGTCTAGGGCCTGCAGGTGGGGAGATGACATCATCGCGGATGACGATACCATACGGATGATTGACAGAGGGGCCGGGGAACTGCCACCCGGTTTAGAGTACCGGTAATGTAATATGACGGGGTCACGGCCTTATCTTGAGACCCCCTCCATGGCAGCCCAGCCAAGTTGCCTGCTCGGGTCTAGCGCCGCCAGGAGGCCCAAATCAGTTGATAGCGATTGCCGCCCATTGTTACAAATAGGAATGTGCCTGGCGCGTCGAGGGGGGGTTATCAGAGGACAACTATCTAGTCAATATTCAACTAGTTAGTTAACGACTAACTGTCTGACTAGCGATCGGGATGTGGTGCGC